GAAAAAAATTGAAAAATAAATCCTTTCCTGAAAAGATGTAGCAAAAAATAAATGAACATAATCATGTCATTTGAAAATAGCGACAGCTTTGTGTCTTCTTTTGTTAATTTATTCTGTGCGCATGTGTATGTATGTGTGTAGCTATTTTTCCTCCCTGCAGTATTGAACTGGCTGGTAGCTCCAGTAAAATATTGAATAGAAGCATTTGGAGTGGGTACCTTTGCCTTACTCCAAAATTATTTGTACATAGAAAATCCAAAGCAATCTTCAGATAATCTATTGCAGTAAAAAGGAATTTAACAAGGCCATAAGACACGAAGTAAAAAAAAAAAATTAGTTGTATTTGTACACCCAAGCAGTGAAAACTTAGGAAAGGAAATTTAAAATAGTATTATTTACAATAGCATAAGAATAAAACAACTGAGAATAAATCTAGCAAAAGATTTGCAAGACCTCTACACTAAAAATCATGAAACATGGCTGAAAGAAATTCAGGAAAATCTAAGTTAAGGAATACCATGTTCATTGATTTGAACACTTAATATTGTTAAGATGTCCAGTCTCCTCAAATTAATATATAGATTAAGTACAATTCTCTACCAAAATTTGAACAGCCTTATCATAAAAAAAAAAGAAAGTCTGCAAATAACAAACGTTTGAGAAGATGTAGAGAAAAAGAACCTTCATACACTGTGGTGGGAACATAAATTTGCACAACCACTATGGAAAAGAGTACAGATGTTCTTTGAAAAAACTAAAAATATAACTACCATATTATCTAGCAATTCCACTCCTGGGTATGTATCTAAAAAAAAGCTCCACTAATTCGAAAAGATACATGCACTCCAATGTTCACAGCAGCACTGTTTACAACAGCCAAGACATGGAAACAACCCAAGTGCCCATCAATAGGTGATCAGCTTACAAAGATGTTATGTGTATGCATGTGTGTTTATTTATACAGAGACAGGGCTAGAGATAAAGACATAAAATGGAGTACTACCCAGCCATATAAAGTACTGTCATTTACAGCAATGTGGATGGACCTAGAGAATATTACGCTTAATGAAAAAGTCATATAGAGGAAGACACTACTATGTATCATTTATATTTGGAATAAAAAATACAAAGGAATGTATATACAAAACAGACAAGACTCATTGACATAGAAAACAAACTTGTGGTTACCAAAGGGGAGAGGGAAGAGAAGAAGGACAAATTAGGGGTATGAGATTAAAAGATACAAACCACTATGCATAAAATAGATAAGCAAAAAGGATTTACTGTATTTCACAGGGAATTATACCCAAAATCTTATAATAACCTACAATGAAATATAATCTGCAAAAATACTGAATCACTATGCTCTATACCTAAAACTAACACAATAGTGCAAATCAGCTATACATCAATCAACAAAATTTGAGCAGCCTATTTAGAATAGACAAAATAAATCTAAAATTTATATGCAAATGCCCAAAGACATAGAATAGTCAAATATACTTCTAAATGAAGAAAAATACTGGAAGATTTATTATCCAAGGGAAGTGAAGACACATGCCTACAAAATATTTGTACAGCAATAGACATCCTTTTTCATAATAGCCAAGAAATGAAAATAACACAAATATCCATCAAAAGAGGACTGAATAAAACATAATATTTCCACACATTCATACAATGAAATACTAATCAGCAATAAAAAGAATCACTTTTGACTCATCCAGCAATGCAAAGAAATCCCCAAAATAATAAGGAAAAGCAGTCACTCAAAACCAGTTCAAACCATAAGATTCCAATTATATTCAATCAAAATACAGGCACCCTCATCTATTTTGACGGTGTTTGGTAGGGAAGGGAGTATGAAGGGTTGGGAAGAGTTATAAATTGGATATATATATATATATATTTGTGGGTATAAAAATTGCCTGTGTCTTGCTTTATGCAATTGTTATAAAGGTTCATACAATTGTCAAAAACTTAAAAACAGTAAGATCTGTGCATTTTTCTAAATAATGATTTTATGTCAATAAAACAAATTTAAATAATTAAACATATAAAGCATGCAGCATGGGTCTTGGCACACATTAAAAAAAAAAAAAACAACCCTTAATCTTTTCTGCTGAATAAGCGGCATATTGCCTAGGACCAGGAGTCAAAGTCTGAACACTGCTGCCCACTGCACCTTTGCATCCGTGTCACCAAGGAAAGCACAACACAGTCAAGCACTGGATGGACAATGATTTACTCACATAGCAAAGAGGCAAAGAAACAGCTGCTCCCACAGTGGGCACTGGGTCCCCATAGCCAACTGGTCCCTCCACTGCTGTGGGACCACTGGCCTACACACATCACTTTTATGCCAAAGAACAGGAGACCTGTCTCCTCCCCTCAGGGGACAGATTTAACAGTGGGGTTGGCCAGGTTCCATATGATGCACAAGCTTAAACAGAACAAAGAGTACACATCGCGTCTTAAACAGGAGCAAACACCTTCACACGCACTGATAAAACCAGCACAGAGAATTCTTTTAGTAAAGAAGTGTTCCAGGCCCGAGGTTCCTTCTTATTCAGCCCCTTGGGGATCAGAAGACTGAATATGAGGCTACCTTTCACCACACCGTCCTTTTTTCTAAAACCCGTATGATAGGTTAAAACTGTACTTTACCATAGGCAGAACAGAGTGTGTTCCTTGACCAAATGAAATTTATGAGTTGAACTTTGCAAAGATTTTGCTGCTTGATATCG